CGAAGGGAGATCCTCTGCGTGCTGTCAAGGAGTATTCCAGACCAGCAGCAGGAAAAGATGTGACAAAGCCCTCTTACCTGCGACCACCTGATGTGTTGCTGAAGACTGTCTACTATCTTATTGATGAGATTGCAGGGTCAACTAGTCTGTACCCATGGACTGAGGCAAGTAGATTTACCACATTATTGATTTATTTATTTCAGGAAAACTTTTTTTACTATCCTAAAGGTGTTGAGTTATTGCTATTAAGATCTGACTTTTTTATGTTTTCATAATTTAGGTACATATAGATGATAATGACATGAAAAACATGTTGCTGTATTTTAAATTAAACCTCAATTAAGATTTGGGTGCAGCTTACATTGTAAAAGCATGGATTCTCCTTTATTTATTTATTTTTTTATTTGTGTCACATTGTGTCACTTTTCATGTGTTTTATTGGAATTTTATCTTACTAACAAGCAAATAAGCATCACACATTTCTGAAGTAGAAACATTTCTAACAAAAAAAAAACAATCAGAAAGGTTAGATGTGCATTCATGTTTGGCCCCGTTTACTTATTACACCTAAATAAAATCAAGTGCAACTAAATACCATCACAAATCACAGCATTAATCAATATACATGAACTGTGTTTAATTTAATCTTAGTATAGGTGCAGCTTTTCTTGGTTGGCCTCTGAGGTTTGTTGGAGAACATGGGTAAACACAAAGTATCATTGAGACCAGGAAACACATCAGACAGGTCAGAGAAAAAGACAGCGAACATTCCTCATAATTCAAAGTGTGCAATTTCACAGTGACTTGTGCATCCTGCTGTGATGAAGAGTGGGATTAAACCTGTTGACTGGACTTGGACAACTGAGTTAGTCTATGACATAAAATCATGGAGGCTGATTTTTACAAGCTGTTTGTAGGTTTGTAAGAAAATGTAAAAACATGAGTATTTTGGCAAGGTACCTAGTGCAGAATCTATGACATTGTGATTCACTACCAAGAACATTGTCAAATAAAAGTTGTACACAAGCATTTTTTGGAATTGAACTTCTTGCTCCCTTTCAGGTGTACAGCTTTGTGTTTGATCGACTACGTAGTGTGAAACAGGACATGATCATCCAAAGGTTGACTGGGAAGGACTGTGTGGCAATTTTAGAGCTAACAGTGCGTTTCCACATCTACGCTTCTTACCGTCTTTGTGGTGAGCCGCTGCGGATTTACGATCCACGCATCAATGATACACACCTACAAGAATATCTGAATTGGCTGTTTGACTGCTACAAAACTGGAACTGGACCATATCCAAACCAAGAGGAGTTTCAGACTCTCGGCCTCCTCTACAACCTGGGTCAGTTTAATGTCTTGAAAATTTCCTTAGGTGTTTTTCATGTTTATGTATGTTGTATTTAAGATCTATTTAACCAGGAGATCACTTGAAATTAATATCAGTTTTTAAGAGAATTGGGAAAGTATTGAAAAAAAACTATTTAAAGCTATTTTGACACCATATGTCTATTTACAGATTAGCTGTTTTGGATACATTTTATGATTTGAAATGAAATGACTCCACATGTCAATCCAGTGGGTTTGTCAATGACTGACCAATCAGCAGTCGAATTTTGATTTGTAAGTGCCCCTTCGCTGGAGGAAGTGAAGCTCTGACAAAGTGTTAGGGCTCATCGTTATGAAAGTGATGCGGTCAAAGAAATTTGGTCAAAAATAATCGGAAAAAGTGGTTAAAAGTAGTCAGTGGGGAACATGCACTTAAAACACGTGTTACTCAGAACATTTCTCCCAAACTGATTCAATTCATGCTTTCTCTGTAGGTTCAAGTCCCGCCGCTCAGGATGTTTTGGAGCTCCCTGAGCGCCTGCGACAAGCTCCTTCTCTTAAACTCGCTCTAGCAATAAATCAAGCATTTCTGGAGGGAAACCATGTACATTTACTCCGACTAGTGCAGAAGCTGGACTTTTTGCAGGCCTGTGCACTGCACCGCCACCTGGTGACATGTCGTAGACACTTACTGCTTATATACAGCCACGGATACCACAGCCGCAACTGCCGCTTTCCTCTTGACAGACTCGCTCAGCTCTTGTCCTTGGAACCATCCCTTACAGCCGAACTTTGTCAGGTGTACGGCATCGAAATAAATCAGCACAACCAGGTGTTATTTTCCAAAAGTGCTTTTACTGAACCTGAACAAGGGAAACTGGATTGTAAACTGTATCATAACATAGTATCTGAGAAACAAAGAGGCCTCACTGTGAAGAGCATCATTCACGGATGTACTTGATACAGATATTTGTCTCTTAATCGGTGCTCGTCGTACCTTACTCCTGTAACAGAGCTCTTTAGGTTTCCAATAAAATTTACAACAGAGTTCAACCTGCATTAAACAAGTTGTCTTCTAGATGGCTGATTTTTTTTTTTCTTTTTCACTGAACATTAATTTTGTATGTTTTTTAATGTCCTGCTGTGCAATAAGTGGTATTACCTCAGGTCTCGAATCACCTCGGAATGTGAACTCCTTTCATACTGGTAATGTTTGTTATTTTAACAGCTTTCTTCATGTAATATAATGTAAAGAGAAATAAAAGGTCACCATGATTATTTCCAAAGGCTAACAGTTGCTTTTTACATGCTGTTTTTGATATTTCTCAAAACAGTTAGGGGATTTTTCTTTGCACCGGTCTTCATTCATTAGCACTAATCCAACTCCTTACTGTGAAACCATTTCAATAAATATGTGTGTTACCAAACAGATCTTTGACTTGTTTGCCTGATTTGCCTGAGTTAAATTTTTATGTACATCCTGTCACCACTTGGTGGCAGCATTTATCAAAACAAACCTTACATACAAACTTGTGATCATAGTATCATTTGACTTTCAAGATCTGCTGGTTCTTTTTGCGTTTGGTCTGCTACCTAAATCTCTCAAACACGCGATTTAAAGTTCTACCTGCTACTACAAACTAGTTTGTTCGTAGTTGCGTATGTTTGATCAGTAAATGAGATGGTTTGCACAGTTTGCATCTCCAAATTTTATTTCAATAAATCTGCATAGATCTGTGTATCTTGAGTTTTTCTTTTGATGGTTGGCAAATTAAACTGTAGGAGAAGTTCATAACTGTGATGTCAATGGTGTCAAAAATACCTGAAAGAATTCAACTTTCCATGTGTCAAATAAAATCTAATAAGTACTCATAAGCACCCATCCTGCCTTTTCCTGTAGCCCCATAATTTGTGCATGCATGGGTTCTCTTTGGGTACCCTGGATTCCTCCCACAGTCCAAAAACATGATTGTTATGTTGACTGGTTTCACTAAGTTGTCCTCAAGTATGTGTATGTGTGTCCATGGTTTGTCCTATATCTTTGTGTTGCCCTATGATGGACTAATGACCTGCAAAGGCATCACGCCTCTCTCCCAGTGATCGTGGAAAATGGCTACCAGCCTCGCCGGGACCCGAAAAGGACAAGCAACTATGGATGAATGGTTATTTTGGTCACTTCTTAAAATGAAAATTATTTCTTCAAATCACTCTATAATGTGTGTCAAATATGTGTTTATTGAACATTTGCAAAGACTGAGAGCAATCCTATCATGAACAAGTTTGCATCAGATCATTAAGGGTTCATTGTTGTTTTATGTTGATCACAAGTAGTGCTGAACCTGCAGTAAAAACAATTTCTGAGTAGTCTCCCTGTGGGCTCGTGGTGCCACTGCAGCTAGCAGGGGGTTGCCTCTTGGCTGTAGAATTGTTTGGCCCTGGAATATTGTTATGCTCTCATCAGCTTCACAGCTTAAATGTTATATCGCCTAACAGTTTCGACTGAACAGCATTGGTGTTTTAGACTGTATGCCGCAACCAGTTCAAATGTAAACAGTTTCAGCCTCTGTTTTTGTGTGGTTAGGGTTAAAATCTTTTTGAATATTCGAAAATACTCAGGTCCTTATATTAAGAAAATTTCACATTTATGTATAGAAATCTTATTTATTTCTGTTAAGTGATTAATTATCTACATTTAATAGTAGTTACACAATATATATGTTATGTATGTTACTCGCTTTAGCTGAAATAAGATCAGAGATGGTTTTTTTGTAGCCATGGTCAACCATTTGTTAACAGAGAAAAGCTTGCTCCTCCCTTCACTTTCAGAAATACATGCTGGGTCTGACAGTGAGGTGGTTAGAAACTGCTGCAGCACAGAAACCTCAACCCTGGCACTTCTGTTTGATTCTGTTTCATGAGACTTGACTTTACCTAACTTTCATTGGTATTTTAACTTTTATTGTTTCTTGAGTTGAATTTTTGATTCATTGTTATGCCCTTAGCTTTATCATCTTATTATTATGCTTTCTTATGTCTTACTTGTCATTACTGTTCAGCAGTAGGTAAAAGTTGCTGTTTGCAATGATTTTATGAAAGTTAAAGTTGGATTCCGTACGGATTCAGTTTTATCTCAACAATAACTAAAGTCAGACGTAGATGTATCCCTGTAGCCTTCTTTTAGCATCTTGCAGTCTGTATTGCGGGCTACCTTAATTGGATGGTCAGACAGAAGCTTATTAGTCCGACTTTTATTCTTCCTTTTTTATTTCAGTGGAATGGTTGATTTTAAATTATTTTAGACTCTTACTTGTCTAAGGTTTAAACAGGGTAAACCTCCAAAAAAAATAAAAAATGCTGTGTTGATGGCTTCCTCGTGTGGGCCAGACGTCTCACAAAAAGCTTTAAAATGTGTTTTCTTCTGTTTCAATTGATTGACGCGGCATAGAGCTTTTTTTTTTTTTTTTTTTTTTTTTTTTTTTACAGGCAAATGTGCGCACAAGAAACAGCGCCTCTTGCTGGAGCCACTGTGCCACAGAAATGGACGCAGCCTGTGTCCAAAATAAATGTAAGACGAGACTGTTACTGCATGCAAACTTTTTATTTATTGATTTTTGATTGTATGCACTTTTAATACACCCTTCGAACTTTTTTTTTTGTAGCAAATACTTATCATGTAATTGCTGCTTGTGGTGAAATGGACACACTGTGCGAGTAGAGTCGTGCCGTCTTGGCTGAGAGGAGTGAACAGAGGACGCAAGAAATCTGAATGAAGCGCTGCTTTGCTGCTTCTAGACAAACCGATCTGAAATCACAAGGAACAACATGAGAAGCGAGAGCTTGCTTGAATGGTCATGCAAGCTGATTTTTTCCCCCCTTTTTTTCCCCCTGAGACATTTCCGAGCGGACAGAAGTGGGAGGACACTAACAAATGTTAATGCTGAAATATGAGAGAACGGAACCGGGGCGGGTGAAGGCACATGGGAGAGGACTGGTGGTGTAGCTGCTGTAAGAGGAAGATCCCTCCAAAAACAAAAAAAAAAAAAAAATGCTTGGATCCAGATTTGTTTAAGAGAGATGATCACAACAATTCTGCGCACCTATCATTCAAATCAGCCAGGATGGATCGGTAGACGGAGAGGAATCTGTTCAAGAGTTCCCGTGTTTATTCGGATATAAAGCGGCCAACTTTCACCCAGGAGAGAGACGATATATATAGAAGTTAGCTTGTGATCAACATAAAACAAAAAAAAAAAAAAAAAAAAGTGAAGAAGAAAAAATGCAGCGGATGTTTTGGAGAGCTTGGAGTCTTTGGTGGACCTTGTTTATCTGCAGCGTGTGCAGAAGCTGTGCGCTTGAACGACAGTAAGTCGCCCGTGTTGTTTGGAGTGTCTTTGAGATGAGCGCAGAGCTGTGTTCTAGTAAATATTCCCAAACCAGGCAATTAATATATATATATATATATATATATATATATATATATATATATATATATATATATATATATATATATATATATATATATATATATATATATATATATATATTAATATATATATATATATATATATTATATATATATATATATATATATATATATATATATATATATATATATATATATTAATATATAAGACAAGTTTTTATAAAAACTTGTCTTGGACTTTTTAACTGTCTTCTTAGCGCTTATGTTTCTTTTTGTTTTCACAGGGTTCATTTACTATTTGGTGGTATTGACATGAGGTCAGAATGATAGTTTGAGATTTTGTTGTGTTGGAACCTAACGCAAAGTATGTGCTGTGAGAATGACAAATATAAATAGATTCCTGAGCTTGTCAGTACCCTCTTAGTCTCTGGCACTGTGATGCGCTCAGACAGCTGCTCTAGTGGACTAAAGATGACTTTGAGTGTTATTAATAAGGAGTTGTAAAGACTTATGACAGGTCAAACGCAGCTTTAGTTGTGTGGTATCAAGCTCTGAAGAAAGCTTGCAGGTCCAGCTCCCAAACACATGCAACCTTGTGACCACCTTTCTGAGACCTCACCTAAAATACTCACTCTTGCATGGTAAGCAATAACGAACCAGTCCAAGGGAGAACAGCTGGGCTAAAAGAACTTGATAACAGCAGCCATGTGATTGAAATAAGTACCGCCTGATCCAGGCTCATCACAGGACAAGTTAAACTTTCCTTAGATCAAACACATACAGTCAATTTCCCCATATTATCTCCCTTCTCCTGAGGTCTTATTTTTCAGGGATTTTCTCATGACTCTTGCACTGGAACTTTGGTTGCCTCTGGCCCTAATTCTGCAGTGCTGTAATGCCAACCACCTGATCTTACTCTCATGCATGCAATTGGGTTTGTGCTCAAGGTTTTACTCAGCTCTGATTTGTGAGCTCTTCGGAGAAGGTTTTCAGTTACAAAAGGATGGAATCAGTGTGGAACATTTTCAAACACACATTATTTTACCAGAGTAAGCCAGATTCAAGGACACCATGACTCCTTGGCAGGTATGCAGCCTCATAGCCAAAAAACTGCAACTCATTTCAGATCCCAAACTTCTAGAACTTGGATAAATGTATTTATTTATTTTTCTTCTTTTACACATTTAAGCAGCAATAGATTGTCTGTTGCCAGGGTGTTGATAACCAGAAACTATTTAGAATGTATGCCATTGACTTGGCATACATTCTTGACATACATACATTCTACATACCATGCATTTTTACTACAGTTCTTTGAGTTAACTTTTGTTGAGAACTGTGCTGTGAATAAATCAAATTGAATTGATTGAGACCACAGGAGCAAAGCTTCGCTCCCAACATTACTGAGCTTTGACTCACATGACTGTTATTACTTTAGCACTGGTTCTTCCTTGAGATATGTGTGATAGGTCCTGACCACTACATACTAAGCATACACACTATTTTTTTCTGTTTTATTGAAATTCTTTCCTTCTGTGACAGTGGCTGAGACACATGGTTTCTATTTTGTTCAGTCATTACCACTTTATTCATTGTCTTAGCTGACCCATCAGTTACTAGCATCAGATTGTCAAAAAGAAACAAAATTTTAGTGAGCTTTGAGGGAAAAACTTGCAGCATATTTTCAGTGGTCTTAACCCTTTTGGTAGACCATAAATTCTGCAACACCATGTTCTGCTGTACTGTGTGCCTTATGTTACTTTAGGATCCAGTTTATCTTGTGGTGATTTTTTAAAAACTTTCTATTTCTTCACCTGTCCTCACATTTTCTCCATTTTTTTTTTTTTTTCAATAATGTGGGACACACTGCAGTCCAAATCAATATGCCCCAAGCTTTCTCTTGACAGAGTTCTGGAAAAACCTTTGTTCAAGCAAAAGAAGAATTATTTCACCCATTATATTGGATAAAGACTTGTGATATTTGCAAGATGTTGCAAAGTGACTATTTAAGTTAGATTTCTTGTGAAGTTACCTGTAATGCGTCATAGCTATGCGGGTTGGTTATTTGAATCAGAGGCTTAATTCTAGACTTGAGAGACTTATAGGTGCAACATTGTTTCATCTGTTCATATTATGATTCCTTTTTTCTCTTTTGTCTATTGATTTCTTGTCCTCTTATTTACCCCTATGCTTTCTTCTCTCCTTCCTTCATTCTACCTCATGGTTTTCTGTCAGAGGATACCTGGTTGCTGCCCCCTCAGTGTTTCGAGCTGGTGTAGAGGAGAGCGTGAGCGTCACTATCTTCAATGCAAAAGCAGAAACACGCGTCCAGGTGCAGCTGTCTGTGAAAGGACAAGCAGTCGCCCACAATCACAGCACAGTTTATGGTGAGGACAAAATTCCTAAGATTTAAGAGGAAATCTGCAGGTAGGAGGAGTATTTGTGTGTTCCTGTACAACACACAACGGTTGCATCAATTTAGTCTATCCGACCAGGATTTTAGTGTACACAGAGCATGATTTGTTTGACAGCACTGCTAATCGATGGTGCTACTCACTCTGTTCTGCTCAGAATTGCATGGAGACGGGTTGCAGCTGGACCTTCTGCTAAAATAAGCAAAACTCCTCCTCAAAGCAAACTCAACTACATGCTTGTAGCTCTCATACCTTGACAATAACTTACTGAAATGTGTGGGCAAAAAGCATTTCACATAGTATTCTCTCTTCTTCTGCTACTTTTACAGATAAAGGCACCATCAAATTGAAGGTGAGTACTGCAATGTGTGCAGCAGCTGAACTCTTGTCCTCAGGCAGTATCCAAATCAACACGTGCATTATTTGTAGTTCTACATCTGTGCCTGCTCATTCATTGAGAATAAGGTAACAGCCCCTATGTAATACACAACAGCTGTCGACGTGCATATATTGTTCTGCCACTCCCGCAGGCAGGACTCGATCAATCTAAGTTGCACAATTTTATTCCTATAGATAGATAGATAGATAGATAGATAGATAGATAGATAGATAGATAGATAGATAGATAGATAGATAGATAGATAGATAGATGATAGATAGATAGATAGATAGTAGATGATAGATAGATAGATAGATAGATAGATAGATATATAGATAGATAGATAGATAGATAGATAGATAGATAGATAGATAGATAGATAGATAGATAGATAGATAGATGATAGATGATAGATAGATAGATAGATAGATAGATAGATAGATAGATAGATAGATAGATAGATAGATAGATAGATAGATAGATAGATAGATAGATAGATAGATAGATAGATAGATAGATAGATAGATAGATAGATAGATAGATAGATAGATAGTAGATAGATAGATAGATAGATAGATAGATAGATAGATAGATAGATAGATAGATAGATAGATAGATAGATAGATAGATAGATAGATAGATAGATAGATAGATAGATAGATAGATAGATAGATAGATAGATAGATAGATAGATAGATAGATAGATAGATAGATAGATAGATAGATAGATAGATAGATAGATAGATAGATAGATAGATATAGATAGATAGATAGATAGATAGATAGATAGATAGATAGATAGATAGATAGATAGATAAATAGATAGATAGATAGATAGATAGATAGATAGATAGATAGATAGATAGATAGATAGATAGATAGATAGATAGATAGATAGATAGATAGATAGATAGATAGATAGATAGATTTAAATCAAGGTTCAGGGTAATTTTACTTTTTCTCTCTTTTTTGAGTTAGCCTTGATCCATCTGAATGTTTGCCTTCCCACCACCAGGTTCCTTCTGGGCTGAGAGGGCAGGCTCTGTTGAAGGTCTGGGGAAACCGTCAGCTCACAGAGAGAGGCTACATTTTCCACAATTACACCACCATCACCGTGGAGAGCAAGGGCTCAGCCGTCTTCATCCAAACTGACAAACCCATCTACAAACCCAAACATAAAGGTTCCCTTTTAGGGCTGCTGGTAGTTAATTAGTTAACTCACTCAGAAATGTAGAGGATAAAGGTATCTTTTAAGCATGTTGTTAATTAGTAAATGAACTTTGTCTTTGATCAGTTCAGTCTTAGTACAAATACAGCTATTCTGTGAAGGTCTCAGTAGTTTTAAACATTCATTTTAGTTTTTTCACGTTATTTTAGCTTGATGATACTTTTGTTTGGCACTGTAGATTGTAGATATTAGCAAATAAACAAATCCAAAGGTTCTTTAATTAAGTAGTTGTGGTAAATATCACTGTAAAACATTTCTAATAAAATAGTTTAGCATTTAATATGCAGTTAATCTGTGAAATGTTACATATTTATATGCTATTTTTTACTTTTTATAAATTACTGTTTTGTTTGTTGCTTTCAGTGCTTATTAAAGTCTACACAGTGGCACCTGATATGAGGCCCATAAATGAAAAGGTAATTATATAATTAAGCTTAATAAGAGATCAATTTTGCTAACTCTAATGGATTCTTTTTAATTCATAGTGCCCTTCATTGCTGAATTGAAATTCTGAATATTCACATTGTAATTTTAGATGTTTTTGTCTTCCAGTTTGACATTTTTCACCTTGAGAGTTAAGATGAGAAACATAGTTTTCTCCCTGTGTGCAGTGAAGTGAACAGTCACCTATTTACAGAGGCAAAGTTAGAGTCATTTCATGTGGAATGTTTGGAGTGGCCTGAAATACTCAAATACTGTGCCGACATGCAGTTTATTTATGTTTGCAGCTATAAAAGTACTGCAGGCACAAAGCTGGACTCACTTCCACGGATAAATGAATGTCAACATGTGATAAAAACCGAAGATGAAGTATATTTTCTGGTAATGGCTGTTGGTATTTTTACCATTATAAGTTGTGTAAGTTTTCTTTCTTCATTTCTTGCAGATGGAAGCATATATTTTGGTGAGTGAACAACCGGACCACCCAGAGCTGGCAGAGCTGTGTCTAGGAAGGAGACAGTGGCAATTTTCAGTTTCCAACATGATTTAAGATTAAAGAGCAGAAGTCAAGGCAGCTCACCTAGATAACAGGGTGCTCTTTGAGACAAGGCAAATATAAACAACATAAAAGGAACCTTTTTGTCTTCTTATTTCTTCTTTTCTCTTCTATTCTCTCTTTTTTACTCTTCTCAAAAGTTAGCAACATGCACATGGGGCCTTTTTAAGTGAAGTATTTATTCTGAAATATGTTTAGAAGAGGTTTTGGTAGTAGACAGACTCCATCTCAAATTTTAGTTTCTCCCAACCCTGATCTTGATTAAATTGGTTTAAATAGGATTGTAGGTGACAATACCACTGCACAACAGACTGCAGACCCACAAGTATCTTCATGAACTCTTTTAGGATCCAAGAGGATCTCGGATGATCCAGTGGAAGAGCCTAAAATCTGTCTGCTGCGGTAAGCCACAATTCCTGCACAATATCACAATCATCACTTTGTAGGACTATTATTTGTTATATGAGCTATGTGAAGAGTTTTAGTTTATAAACAGTTAGAAATCAATGCAACATTATAATCATCAGTATGCAATGCAGGACTATTACGTCTATAGTTGATGAGGAGAAGCCAGACCTGTAATAGTTTAATGTTTTTTCCCCCACCTTTATCATAGGGATTGTGAACATGAGTTTCCCTTTGTCTGACCAGCCTGTGTTTGGAGAGTGGTTCATCTTTGTGGAAGTGCAGGGTCAAACCTACAACAAGTCATTTGAAGTGCAGAAATATGGTGAGAACACCCATCCATCCATACATACATACATACAAGCTTCACTTTCTGCTTTACAAATAGGCACATAATTTTAGTGTTTTAGCCCAGAGATTTTTAAGTTACTTAATATCTTCCAAACAGACAGTATTACGAGGACAATATAAAGATGTATTTTACAACGTTCTGTGAGGCAAATGATATAAAATGACAAAAAGGAAGCTGTTTTGTTTCCTCTCTCATAGTGATGCCCAAATTTGAGCTGGTTATAGTTCCACCGCCTTACATCCGTGATCTCAGCTTGTGTGAGCAAGCCAGTGTCACAGCCAGGTAGGTGACTTTACATTTAGCTTTATTACACAGTTCCTTGTCCAAGTATTCATGACTTTCAAAGGCTTCTCCAATTGGACCATGGAGTTAGTACATCATTGCTTGATTTGTTGTATGGACATGTGACAGAATTAGAAAAAGCTCACGGGGTTTGAATTCTTCACAAAACATTGTTCACTACTTGTTATATGTATAATATGTTGTACATATATGTGTTGTAGTTTTGTATATTCATATATGTTTTGTCTTACAGTTCCTTAGAAAAATACTCATTACAGTTTAAACTTTTTGGGATGATTTTCACCTTATGACTACACACTTCAACATATTTTAGTTGTATTTTTTTAAGAAAAATTATGAACAGATTTCCAAATTTATACATATAATATCTGAAAAGTGTAGCAAGTATTTGTATTTTTTTCTACCTACATTAGCTAATATATTTTTAAACCAACTTTTGCCACAATTGCAACTGCATCTCTTTTGTCTTGCTGTTGTTCCTTAACATATGGCCTTGGTTTGATCTATACTACACTTTACCTTTACATCAAAGGTTCCTTAATTGTAGTCTGTTAAGCAACACACCATTGTAGAGTTATATTCAAAATAAGTCAAGCGTCTCAGGCGTTAAAAAAAATACAAACATGCTAAAATAACATAAAAATTTTGGAAATTTGGATAAAATTCATCAAAATGTAGTGATGAAGTTATTTTATGTTCCATGCAACTTTAAGTAAGCACTCTGTTGCTTTTTTCAAGTCATATAAGTAACAAGAGTGCAGATTGATGAGATAATCTATTGCATGTAGTCTTTTGTTTTCTGAATTTTGAGAAAATTACTCTTTAAAATTCTCACGTTCTAAAAATGCTGTTTCAAGTTGATAACCTTTATCGTGACAAAAGTCTTTTTTTTTTTTCGTCAAGTCAAGTTAAGCACATCAGTCTTCTGCTGATGGGAGAATAAATTCAAATTGTGCTGTGATTTTGTTTTTGAGTTGTGGATTTACACTGTCTATTTACACTGCCCTAATATATAAGCACCACAGACCACCTGTAAAGGACCACCGATCTAAACCATTGTAGCACAAGCTGCATGTTTATTGCTGCTTTGTTGCAATAATTTTACAATAATTTTATTATTTGCTAATATTTATTATTAATTTGTGTTTCTTTATCACATACAACCCCAACAACCCCAATAAAATATATTGGAGTTTAAAGTTTTACATTGACAAAATGACAAAAAAAATGTATGGGGTCTGAATGGTTTTCCAAGCTGGTGTACAGTCACAGTCAATTAATTAGAATATGCTTTCAGAGGAGGAATGCTTGTCAGCTTAAAAGTATCGTTTAAAATGAACCTTTTCATTAAATATACTTTTCTGAGCCCAGATTTCTGGTTTACCATGAGTTTTTTATTGGTTTGATGTAATATTCTCTTAAACATCATGTCTTCATTCACGGTGGAAAACTACCATAAATGACCGAAGTAAAGGCTTGAAAACATCTTTCTGTTTGTATTTAATGTATAGTATATTTATCTTAGTGAATTGAGTTACCAGAATAAATAAACATTTTAGGATGTATTGCTTTGACTGTGTCTTACTAATAACATGTTCTATGTTAAGCTCTGATGTATCACTTTCACACAGATACACCTTTGGAAAACCAGTAACAGGAAAGTTGACAGTGAATATGACTGTAAATGGAGTTGGATATTACCGCCATGAGACGGGCCAACCTGTAATTAAAACTATGGAGGTCAGTATTTTTACTAACAAAATTCAAATGTGTCATCATTTTAACTGCAGTCTAATACTTTTTTATATTTTGTTTAGCCTGAGAAAATGAACAATTGAGGTCTCTTTCATAAGTGTGTCGTTGTTTTTGTCATGGCCACCTTGGCAAAGAAAAATTGCAATCCTTCAACTTTACCAGTCTGTGGTACTTTTCTTCATTTTTTCAGATTAAAGGCTCTGCAAATTTCAGTTTGTGTGTGAAAGACATGATGCCACTGGATGTGGCTGATCACTTCAGGGGAACAGTTAGCATTTGGGCATCAGTGACCAGCATTGATGGAACCAGGCAAACCACATTTGATGATTCAACAGCAGTTCATAAACAACTCATTGACATCAAGTATTCTAAGGAGACACGCAAACAGTTTAAGCCAGGTCTGCCTTACAAAGGGAAGGTGAGATTGTACAGAGGAACTTATTGACACTGTAGATGAAATAGCATTATTGATGGACTCTGTTGGCTTTTTTTCCCATTCTTGTTCCCTCTGTATCTATAGATTGAGGTTACCTATCCTGATGGGAGCCCAGCTGATGGCGTAAGGGTGCGTGTTAAAGCAGAGCTTACACCAAAGGACAATATTTACACCAGCGAACTAATCTCCAAGGACGGTGAAGCCACCTTTGAAATCCCCTCTATTCCAGTAGCTGCACAATATGTCTGGCTTGAGGTCAGTAGCTTCCTATGAATAAGAAGACTAATGGGAAAAAATTTAAATACATTTTCTCAGATTTTAGATTTTGTTCATTTTATTTCAAACAGACTAAAGTGACATCCATTGACGGCAAGACAGTGGGAGACCAGTACTTACCTAATTATCTGTCCATTAGCAGTTGGTATTCTCCAAGTAGGTGTCACATCCAGATCCAGAGTCCCAGCGCTCCCCTTAAAGTACGGTTTGCTTTTTTTGTCCTATTGGAAGTTTGTGCTAAGTTCAGATTTACTTGGGTTTGGACCAACAAAAAGGTGTGTCCAAAAGGTATAAGGATACGTCATGTTGTGGTTAACTCAACTTTAAATGTTTCTGTGATTCTAGGTTGGCCAAGAGGCTGAAGTGGCTCTAAAATCTACCTGTCCCTGTAACTTCACGCTGCACTACGAGGTGGCGTCCAGGGGAAACATCGTCCTGTCAGGCAAAGAGCCAGCCAACACGACGATCTCACACAGAGGAAAAAGGGCAACCGTGACCTTTGATAAGAACATCCACACCACCCAGCTCCCTTCCTCTGCCTCTGGTAGATTTTTTCCTTGTGTTTTCAGTTTTTGTTTGTCCAATTTACTTAATGAACAGAAAACAGATGAATGAATAACGCATAAGACTGTATCGGCCCATAAATTCACTTTTCTCTCACTCTGTCAGGTGTTGCAGGATCTTTGTCCCAGGCTGAGATGGACTCTTGTGTGTCTTATCTTCGTTTCCCTGTTAGTCACATCATGGCGCCTTTCAGCCGTCTATTGGTGTACTACGTCAGAGAAAATGGCGAGGGCGTAACAGACAGTCTACAGATTTCTGTTCAGCCTGAACTTGAGAACAAGGTCTGTTGACATAATTGTTTATGTTTTAGTATTATCATTTATTCAGTTAAAGTATTTTTGGGCACAGTTGCAGTCGGTGTTTGGAGAGCATACCTAATGTACTCTCTCAATTCTTGGTTTTTACAATTTAGGACATTATGACCTTGGTTTGCTACATATCAGGTTCTGAAATCACAGTGAATCCATTGAATTTCACAGCAGCAATAACTTGAAGAAGCTCTTTTTGGCAACCTGTTATTATAGAAAAGTTTTCCCTTTCTTCTTTATAGCATTTCTTGATTTGCTGAATGAACAAAGCTTTAGCTGTCAAGTAGATGGACTCACATTTGGTTATTGAATATTTTGATGTGCAGGGTGCCAATGTAAATTCAGAACAAGCCTTTATCATCACTCATTCTACTACTGTGCTTGACAATGAGCATGAAAGGTTTGTGTTTGTTTCTTTCCAAGAAAGTTACTGTAAATTATTTCTTATCATCTCTACATTTTGCATTTAAAGATAGGACTCTCTTTCAGAAGTACCTTGGTTCATTTATATTCTAATTGCCAATCTAAATCTTGCTGGTTTGATTTTTAGGGACAGGGGACCTTCCCAAATTAAATCTCTCTTCTTGAGTCTATGTCTAATTGTGTGGAAATAAATTTTAATATTCTTCCAGGTAACTAAGGTCTGAAAAATTAGGGATGTGCATCTTACTTATTTTTGCAGCTTTTCTGAGCATTGCACAGTCTTACCTTGGGCCAAATTTGTTTGGATGGGCTACTTTTTAGAAGCTTGGCAACTGTCTTAAATGTTGTTCGCTTGGGGATAATCTTTTATACTGTAGAATGCGGGCAATCAAACTGTCTGGAAATGGCATGTTCACACACTGATAGGCAGCAACAGCTGTCTCTTTAAAGTCACTGTTCAAGTCTTTTTTCCTTGGCTGGGTTGTTTTTTTGTAGAGATGGTCACACCGATGATAAGTTTAACTGACTTAAATCCTATAGAGCCAGAAATGAAGTAAAAAGGAGAATCAGTAGTAGTTTGTTATTCATTAACCTTTATTTTGTTCCATTGTGTTATTGGATTTTAAAATTAATTTCACATAATGTAAAAACTTTATCATGTTCTTAAAGAGTATTTCCTTTGTTTTGACGCATAACAGCCTCCTGATTAAAGGTTTTTGGATGCAGAACAATTAGTTTAATCTTTAATAAGTGTTCATCGAAAGTTGTAAAGAGTGGACTTACTGCCTACGTTTTGGAACTGAGCCAAAGTATCCATGCATCAACCATTACACAAGAGTGTAATGTCAGTAAACAAACAGCTGTGTTGGCCTAACAGCACTCTCCAATTCCTTTCTGAATTAGGTGGAGTTAACTCCCTGAAGTATTTACAGCTCTCTGGTATGCCCTTACAACACTATGCGTGTGCGTACGTGTGTGTGTGGGTGGATTGTGTGTGTATGTTTTTGTGTCTCTGTGTGTGCATGAGTATGCTGGAGGAGGGGTTGAATGGGTATGATGATAAAGCAACCGTGCAGGCCACAGGCAGATAAGTACAGTCGTAATATGAGAGGATGACAGGTTGCTGATGGTGAAAGGAGGGCAGCAGCGAAGAGATTAACGAGGCTAATTTGTGACTGTGTGGGTGGGAAAATAGTGTTGAAGTGTGAAAGTTTATGGCTGACCCTTAACAGCCCTCCCTCTTTAAAAGGAAGCTTCTTCTAACTGTATCTTCCTTCCTAAAACTTTCCTTCCTAAAATCATGTCACATGCTAGTTCCAGCACATATTTAGGCAAAAACAAAACTTAAATGTTTTGTCAACATAAATAAAATCACACAAAACAAACAATGGCTTTACATGTGGTTTTGTATTTAGAAATGCCTTTTAATTTTATTTTATGGATATATCAATTGTAAGTTCTTTGTTGTTTGGGTTTCCAGGTGTCTGTTTCCTTTTCCTCCAATGAGTCCATGCCAGGAGACTCAGTGATGCTGCATGTCCGGGGTGAAAAGGGTTCATGTGTTTGTGTGACCACTGTGGACAAGAGTCTTTATTTGTTAAAGCCTGATTTCCAGCTTAGTACCAACAAGGTTTGTCTCATTATTACTTTTCTAAAACTCAGTTATGCTGTAGCTTGATGTGTACGCAGGTGTTTTTGAGATCCACCGGAAACCTAACACTCCAAGTTGCATTCCTGCATATAAATGTGTTTGCACTGTGCAGGTGTTTAAAGAGATGGCTGATTTCGATGTGTCAGACATTTTTGGTGTTCCAAAAGATGACGGACACATGTGGTGGCCTGGACTGTCCTCAAAGAGACGGAGGCGATCATCTGTGTTTCCATGGCACTGGGACATCACTAAAGATGCACGCTTTGCTTTCACAGTGAGAAAACACAGTCTAAATGCCCACAACATTGTTGCGAAACGAGGTAGAAAATATTTCCTTTAAACGTATTTATTCTCCAGGAAACAGGGTTGGTGGTGATGACAGATATGGTGAGCTTAAACCATCGGCAGAGCGGAGGGATGTACACTGATGAGGCTGTTCCTGCCTTTCAGCCACACACATCAATTGGAGTGACTGCCATTCACACAAGGCCCACAACCAGGTAGGACAGGCTAATAAAGTAGTTTGAAGAGATTAACGATTGTTGTTGGTTATGTATTGTCAAACAACTGATATCTGAATTTGAGATAGGAAAAACGAAAACTTACCAACAAGAAGACAATCATTCAGAAACAACTAAGAAGTGCATTTTAACTGTAGGAGTAACAGACATCTACGGGTGGAATAGATAAATCCATTTACAGATCCATTATTAGCTTTGTACTTTTCTACATTTTTTTTAAATGAAAGATTTGTAAGAAAAAAGGAAGTTATTCCAAACTCCTGTCTGCAGATTGTCAAAAGCCAAGTAAAGGACATAGCAGATGCACTGAAATTTAGCTTTGACTAGAAAACTGTACACATAACATCTTATTTCTATTATACATAGAAGCAATGTTCGCTATATTTGTTTCTTTGAAATAAACAAGAAAATGTGCTGATGTGAGACGAGACCCAAAGTGAACAAAAACACAAAGAATATGGCACATACTTGAGAAGAAGACATGGTTGTGCACATCAGTAGCTCCTGAGGAAAGAGTTCCATTATTCAAAGAAGTAGCCAAAGTTACTACTGTACAGAGATTCACAGCCTGCCTGATATGTGAGCGATATGCTATTTTTTGAGTTGGTTATTTATAAGCAAACTTGGTACCAAAATACCTTTGGTCAGAGATTAAAGATTTATTTTTATTCATGTCATTGAATCAGTGACACTATGCTTTGGGTGGTAAGCTGGCGGGGGTTGATGCTGGCCAGACAGTGAACCGAGGATAATGACGTGCTTAGAACATCCGACTTTTTCCACGGTTGGCAATTTCTAATTGCTCCTCTCCTAGAGATGTTCTCCCAGTCTCTTAATGGCCATGTTTCACACCGGAATTGCTGATGCAGCGATACAAAGATGCATCCGCAATGTGGTTATTGCTTGTCTCTTTGTTATTCTCCTTACAAGATAGAGCCCCCATGAGCCAAAGGAAGCAATCAAGATGACTATAAAACAAGTAAAAGTAATTTGCTTTATAAATTATATTTTCCACTGATGTTTTACAAAGCTGTTTGTTGTTGTGTGGTAGGACTGAGAAGCAGAGACGCACATTTTTCCCTGAAACTTGGTTGTGGCACTGCATCAACATCAGGTAAATAAATCTTTTGACACTTCATGTCTCTCTGAAGCATTTGTCTTTGTACTCAACTTTGTCTTATCAAGGGAAAATAGATTTATAAAATGTCACTATACATACAATAAAATAACTGCACATTATTATTATTGTTGTTGTTGTTGGTGGTGGTAATCATGTTTTTATATTTGTATTTCAATACTTCAAGAACTTCTTGTGTGAAGCTTTGCATCTGTTGCTTCTGTTACACCTGAATTTCCTTTTTATGGGATAATAAACAGTTTTAGAATAGAATAAAATAAAATAGAAGAAGATTCTATTCTAGAATAGAGCATAATAGAATATTTTATTCTATTCTATTCACAGAATAGAATGATATTCTATTCTATTCTAAAAAACAGAAGTACATCACGCAATAGAGAATGTTGTAAAAAGGGTAATAAAAAGTTAGTCTGAAATTTACAGTTATTATGGGCATCAATGTAATTATTTTTGAGGTTTTCCAAAGGTATTAGATACATGATGGTTATTTGCTGATAATACAGCATGCATCTATAATGACTAAAAAAGAATAAGAAGTAGGTGTTTAAGTTTAAATTTTATAAAAGAGTAAACTCCTCTTTTTTTACAGACTTTTTGCCATTGTACCCTAAAACCTCAAGCTTTGTTTCATCTGAATTTCTTTTGTGAATGCATTTTGCCTCCTTAAGTAGGCAGTACAAATTTCAGACTAAAGGTTGACTTTGGTGAATGTGCTTATTTCATGGTCTGTGTTCTCTTTGATAAAATTTGCTTCATTTTGGACAGGTCCATAAGTGGCATCCTTCTGAGAGGTTATTTTCATTTACTTATTGAGAAACTTATGAAGTTGACTACACCCCTGCTCCCATGCAGCCCATTTTCATGTTATGTAAAATTACAGAAAATCTCTAAAATAAATCATGAAAAAATGTCCAACAGATTTACAAAGGCTTTGGAGAGGACCACATTCCGTTCTGCTTTCCTGTAAACTTCAAAGCTCAGATTTTCCTAAAAAGTATTTTTCAGTGACTTCTTGCCAGCTTTAATCAAAAGGAGGAGTGTGATGCAGCTTTTTGAAGTTTAATATGTCATTTGACTTCGCCAAGACCAACATGAAATGCATGCTGCCAGGAATGACCTCAAGCCATTCCATACAGAGGAACGGATTAAGTCAACATCCAAGCGTCCCTCTCCGCCATCCAATTTGGAGTGTTTGCTGTAGTTACATCAGTTGAGATGTTGGTGTTGACACAGGTGTTAGCAGTATAAAAACGTCCAATTAAATCTACCGTTATCAATCAAATGTGGTTTTTCATTGCCTGTGTTAAATGACATCAATAAATGATGTCAAAATGTTATCATTGTCCAACACGTTTCTGAGTTGTGTTTCATTGGGTCACTCACAGCTCTGAAACTGGGGAGACTCTCCTCCAGTTGGATGTCCCAGATTCGATCACCACATGGGTCACAGAAGCTGTTGGACTCTCTGAGGAGAAGGGACTGGGTTTGGCAGAGAGGACAGAGCTTCGGACTTTCAAGCCCTTCTTTGTTGACTTCACGCTGCCTTACAGTTTAATCAGAGGGGAGCAGACCAAAGTCCCTCTTACAGTCTACAACTACCTTCCTACTTGTTCAGAGGTAAAAAAAAATAAATAAATAAAAAAATGGATTGCTGAGAGGAGGTTGAATAGACACTTTTCCATTGTTGATATTTTACTGACACACACTGCCTGTGTCATTCAGAAATAATTCCAAACACTCCTGTGTGTTTTGTTGTATTAAGGTGAAAACAAAGAGGTGCAAATTTTCTTATTGGAATTCTGACTTAAGAGGTCATCCTTGTTTTGAACTCGAAGAATATTCCAAACAGAACACACCATAACACCTATGCCAGGCCATCATGATTTAACATAGGTCAACATTAACTTTATGTAAATTTGAAAGAAAGAAATCCTGCAAAGAAATCCTGGAGTACAAGGAGTACATTTTGCACTCCTTGTAAGTAATTTCTTCAGCTCACATTTTAAGTTAAAGGAAACAGATGCAATGCAAAATATCTTCGCTGTTATGGACAGGGTCTATACGTCGGCTTCAATATGCAGTTTTACAGTGAATTATTATCTATTTGCACATATTGGATCACTATAAAATGATTTGATATAAACATTTTTTAAAAAAGTTTCATTGTTCTGTATTCCATGCACCCCAGAAATTTGTTGGTGGACATTCAGAGGTATTTGTTGTTGTAGCACAAATTATCCTACATTTTAAAAAACTATTAGTGACTATTGACTAGTGATGATTTTTTTCACTAGACTTGTTTTTCAGTAATCACAGCAATTTCTGCAAACTGTTTCTCTCAATCTTAAAGTTTGCACCATTCAAAAGTAGATAAGTGTTTGAGAAGAGGTATTTGAAATTCCTGAGGAATGCAATGTGAAGAGTTGATTTTCAGCTCCAAAATAGTTCGTAGCACTCACTTTGAAGAGCTATCCAAACTTTATTCTGGCCTTAAATGAACCCATCCTGCATTCCATTTACATGACATCATGATTTGTACAGATGAGCCTGTTAAATGGTCTTTGCGTGTGCTGCCCTGATGTCATGTTTGGTGAATATGCAAACCAGAATCGCCCTTTCTTTGATGTCCACCCCTAAAACATGTGATTCTTATATTTGCCGCTCAGTTATTTATGACTCGTGGCATGGAGATAAAGAACTGTTAAAAGACCCTGTTTGCAGGACCGCACCCTATGAAAACTGGATGACGACCACACTTTAATTCTTCATGAAGCCTGAGAGGCATTAAGTCAAGCAACATGAAATTATGCTTGACGAAATGTTAATTTGAAAAAAAAACCCTCTTTGCTTTCGGCAGTTTGAGGAAACACGCAATATGAGAGCAATAGAACAAAGATTATGTCATTTTCTACCGTCATATGAGGTCGAGTGGTTCTTATTTGTCTTTTTCTCTCTTAGGTACATGTAAAAGTATCTATTCCAAAAGGTATCAAGTTTATTGGCCATCCTGGAAAGCATCATCTTACCAGAAAGAAATGCGTTGCACCTGGTGAGACTATTCCTACGTCCATTGTGTTGTCATTCACTGAACTGGGATCTGCAAACATCACAGGTAACCCATCACTTTATCTATCATTTAAACTGCAGTTAACTGATAAAGTCTCATTGAGAGACATTGTCCCTGCACTAGTTAGGTCCCCGGTTCTCGTCCCAATTTGCCTGAGCAGCAAAACAGTTATGCCTCCTGGAGAACTAGTCAGATTTTTGATTATGCAAATCAGACTATATCATTAAGCATAACGATCATTATCAAGCATGATTAACTTTTCGCTAGGACATTGGGTCCTCTCAGTGTGAGTCCTTACAGAAAAGCCAGTCCTTTGGGAATGGAGTGTGGGCCAAGAGGCTGAGCTGTGTGTGATCTGGTCACCCACCCCAGTTACAAGCAGTCCCCTCCTGAGTGCATGTGAAAACAAAGCTGACCAGCAGTAGGGGAGAGTAACCAGAGCTGCACTGTGACACTCAGTGGCATGTTGATGAGTTTTCAGGTCACCAGCGGTCAAGGGGCCCCCCATGGCCCCACTCATAGTTTCCTGGCCTCTTGTGTTTCCTTTTCGCTACACACACACAAAGAGACTCAACTTGGCACAGTGCCATATTGCCAATGTCCTCCACATGAAGCGAACTGGGTGTCCATCTAGAAACATGTTTGACACCCAGATAATTAGGGAGATGGCCCGTTTCATCTATTGTTATTTTTTTAACCTCTTAAATCCATTGTTATGTTATTTTTCCTTGCTGTTCAGATTCAATTTTTATGTGAGATGTATATTTTCAGGCAGGGTTTAAGCAGCTTTGAAGCTTTATGGTTTAGCTGATGCTAATAACCTCAGAGAACAAGCTAAATGGTGCTAAATCAACAAAAACAAACCAGATTTCTGAAAGAGGTTTACGGAAGGATATTTTCAATGGGCAGGACGGAGCGCAGCTTGTTTTCTGTAAAAGATAAGACAATGAGCATTCTAAGAAAACTCTTTGACAGCACCATTCAATCAACTGGACGTCACTGGAGAGATCAAATAAAAGAGGTGTTGGCAGTACCAGCAGCAGATCCAGCAAAACAATCTTCAAATGGCGTTTGCTCAGTAAGAGGGATTGATGTGGTTTCCATTGTTTTCCATTTGAAATCGGCAAATATATATGGCTTTAAGGAGTTCAAATGAA